TTTGGAAAAGAACAGAACTAAGCTGAGACAAAAAGAACTGTATCTAAATGCTATAATCTAGTTACTAAATGTGTCTCTCACAGTGATATGAGTTACCATTCTTGAAACTACTTTATGTGTATACTAGAATTGGACAAATAAGTAAATATTTCATAGATAAAGAGAGTCAAGTATCTCATTGATGGAGAAAGAAATTACTAACAAGCAAAAGGGGGAGGCGAAAATGAACCCTGTGGAATTAGATTGGAATCAGAGGTATTAGTATAAACTCATAGTTTTTACAATATATACAGAGAGATACAGAAATATAAAAGTGTTGTATGTGTGAGTTACTACATATACATGTTTCCTAGCTCTGCCTGCTGAGAGTGTCTAAGAGCAGCAACATCCATGGTAGACAGACTCTCAGGAGGAGCCCCCCATGAACCCTGCCTACTCATGTTCGTGCTCTTGTATAGTCCCTTCTCCTTGAGGATGGGCAAGAGCTGTGAATTTGCATCTAACAAATGGAATATGGCAAAGGTGAAGGGATGTTTCATTTCTAAGATGCCATTTCCTTATATAAGACTCCATCTTGCTAGAGGATTTACTCTAGAGACTCTTTCCTTAGCTAGCTTTGAAGGAAATGGCCATGTTGGGTGGGAGGCTCAGGTGGCAAGGAGCTAAGGACAGACTCTAGTGGACAGCAAGAAGCTGAGGCCCTCTATCTTATAACCACAAGGAAATGAATTCTGCCAACACCCTGTGACTTTAGAAGCAGATTCTTCCCCAGTTCAGCCTCCAAATGAAAACCAGACTAGATGACATCTTTAGTAGGCTTTGTAAGATCCTAAGCAGGGCACGCAACTAAGCTGTGTCCAGATTGCTGCTTTAAGCCACTAGGTTTGTGGTAATATTGCTCTGCAGTAATAGATAACTAATATAGCACAATATAAGACATGCATATACCTTGTGCTCAGATCTTGGCTTCTAAACAAAATTCTCCAATTAAGGTAACTAGGCTTCTCAATCAAGTGCCTAGTTCTGGGGTTGGGGCAGGAAAAAACATTAAGATGAACCTGAAACATCTTGTTTGTTAGAAAGTAAGGAAGTGCTCAAAATAGTACAAAGTCTTGTGGAAAGGACACAGAAGCCAAGCTGAAGAAAGTCCTAATGGTCAAATTTGGAATAATCTGAACATCAAAATAAATACTGACAGTACTGAATTTTCATCTATAGAGCAAAATCTATATCCATGAGCCCATACTAATATAAATAGGAGGAGAAGGGATAACTCTTCTTTTCAGTAGAATTCCAATTAATACAGAAAGCGATAGAAACTTACTACTAGTAACCATAGTAGTAATTGTTGCAGGAAAGATCCACCAATGCTAAAATTACTAGGTGAAAGTTTGAGAAACAAAATACATAGATTCAAAGTATCGCCCCCAATGTTTATTAACTATAAAGGAAAAGATTATAACTTTACAGTGAAACAACACAGCAGACACCACCCTAACCAAGTGAACAAAGTTAACACTACTAGTATTAATATGATGAAGTCTGGATATGATGCAAGGAGAAGGACATATCATTTCTGTGGAATTTTTGCCAAAAATGCACAACTACATTGCAATCATGAGAAAACATTAGACAAACTTAAATTGAGGGATATTTTATGACATAACTGACCAATAGTCTTCAAAGATATCATAGGCATGAAAGCAAAAACTGAGGAACTGTCACAGATTGGAGGGTTCTTAGGAGAAAGGATAACTAAATGCAATGTGGGACTCTGGATAGAAGTCTAAAATAGAAAAGGATGTTAGTGGAAGTCTACAGTTTAGTTAATAGTATTGTACCAATGCTAATTTTCTAGTTTTGATCATTGTTTTGTGGGTAAGACATTAAAATTAGGGCCCGGTGTGGTGGCTCATGCCTGTAAATCCTAGCTATTTGGAAGGCTAAGGTGGGAGGACTGCTTGAGGGCAGAATTCTGAGACCAGCTTGAGCAACATAGTGAGATCATTTCTACAAAAAATAGAAAAATTAGCCAGATGTGGTGGTGTGCACCTGTAGTCCTAGCTACTTGGGAGGCTGAGGCAGGAGAATCACTTGAGCCCAAAAGTCTGAGGTTGCAGTGAGCTGTGATGCTATGATGATGCCATTGCACTGACTCTAGCCAGGGCAATAGAAAGAGACCCTGTCTCAGCAACAACAACAAAAAAAAAATTAGGGAAAGCTAGGTGAAGAGCATATGAGAAATCTTGCACTATTTTTACAACTTTGGTGTAAGTCTAAAATTAGTTCAAAATTAAAAATTTAACTTACAACTTACTAAAAAACACAATAATCCAATCAAGCAAAGGATCTTTTTTTTTTTTTTTTTTTTTGAGACAGAGTCTCACTTTGTTTCCCGGGCCAAAATGCCGTGGCCTCAGCCTAGCTCACAGCAACCTCAAACTCCTGGGCTCAAGCTATCCTCCTGCCTCAGCCTTCTGAATAGCTGGGATTACAGGCATGCGCCACCACACCCGGCTAATTTTTTGTATATGTTTTTAGTTGGCCAATTAATTTCTTTCTATTTATAGTAGAGACGGGGTCTCGCTCTTGCTCAGGCTGGTTTCGAACTGGTTTCGAACTCCTGATCTTGAGCAATCCTCCCGCCTTGGCCTCCCAGATTGCTAGGATTACAGGCGTGAGCCACCACTCCAGGCCAGGGCAAAGGATCTTAACAGCCATTTCCCCCAGGAAGATACGTAACTGACCAGTAAACACACGAAAAGATGCTGAATATCATTAGTCATCAGGGAAATGCAAATCAAAGTCACAATGAGATACCACTTCATACCCACTAGGATGGCTAGAATCAGAAAGTCATATAAAAACAAGTGTTAGTGAGGATAAGGAAAAACCAAAAATCTCACACACCATTGGTGAGAATGTAAAATGGTACAGCAGCTTTGGAAACAGTCTGGTAGTTATTCAAATGATTAAACATAGAGTTATACCATATGACCCAACAATTTTATTCCTGGGCATAAACCCAAGAAAATAAAAACATACATATATGCAAAAACTTGTACACAAATGTCTACAGCAACATTACTCATAATAGCCAAAAGATGAAAATGAGACAAATGCCCATTAATAGCCAAATATTGTATATCTATACAATGAAATAATATTCAGTCATAAAAAAGAATGAAGGACTGATACATGTTCAACACAGATGAACCTTTAAAACATGTTAGGTGAAAGAAACTGGTAAAAAGACCACACATTATATGATTACATTCATATGAAATGGAAATCTACAGGGATAAAAAAGATTAGGGGTTGCCTAGAGCTGTGGGGTAAAAATATTCTAAAATTGACTAGAGGTAATGGTTGTATATATCTGTGAATATACTAAAAGCCACTGAATGGTATACTTTTAATGGGTGAAATACATAGTATGTGAACTATATCTCAATAAAGCTGTTGAAAGAAAGAGAAAGAGCGAGAAAGAAAGAAGGAAGGAAAGAAAAGGAAGAAAAAAGAGGGAAAGGGAAAGGGGGAAGGGGGCAGGGGAAAGGGGGAAGGGGGAAGCGGGAAGGGAAGGGAAGGGAAGGGAGAGAGAGAGAAGAGAGAAGAGAGAGAAATAGAAAGAGAGAAAGAAAAAGAAGAAAGAAAAAAGAAAAGAAAAGAAAAGAAAAGAAAAGAAAAGAAAAGAAAAGAAAAGAAAAGAAAAGAAAAGAAAAGAGAAAAGGAGGCCAGGTGTGGTGGCTCATGCCTGTAATCCTAGCACTCAGGGAGGCAGAGGTGGGAGGATCACTGAAGGTCAGGAGTTTGAAACCAGCCTGAGCAAGAGCAAGACCCCCATATCTACTAAAAATAGAAAGAAATTAATTGGCCAACTAAAAATATATAGAAAAAATTAGCCAGGCATAGTGGCACATGGGTGTAGTCCCAGCTACCAGGTAGGCTGAGGCAGAAGGATTGCTGGAGCCCAGGAGTTTGAAGTTGCTGTGAGCTAGGCTGACGCCATGGCACTCTAGCAAGGGCAACAGAGTGATACTCTGTCTCAAACAAAACAAAACAAAACAAAACAAAACAAAACAAAACAAAACAAAACAAAACGTAAGCCAAGCCAAGCCAAGCCCAACCCCTTGGTCCTTTATTTCACTTTCAATTTGCTTCTCTTTCACCCTCCCGTGTATTACTGCCATCTGCTGGTTATTGTTTTAAAATACCTGCCAAAACTATCTTTTTTGTTAGATGTGGTAATTATGTCTGGTTTTGTTAAGAACTTTGTTAAGAAGTTCTTATTTTTTAGAGATATATACAAAAGAGCTTCAGGAATTAAATGACTTAATATTTATGACTGTAAGTGCTACTACAAGAAAAAGGATAAATGAAGCATATATGGTGAACTTGATAATTGTTGAATCTGAGAAATGGATAAATTGGAGGGTACTATTTTCTTTGTTGGAGTCCATTTGAAATTTATAAAAGTAAAGAAAAAGGACTGTTAGTCTTTGAGAGTAAAGGACATATAAACTACTTTGAATGTTTCCAGGGAACAAGGTAGAAAATAAATAAGGATAACATACATATATGGAAAATGGTAGTTTGCAAATCATAGGAAACAAATTTTAAAAATTATATTTATCGATGGTCATGATGGAGACTCAGACTTGTGGGGGGAGGGGGGAAATGGCCATTTATTGAAACCTTAAAATCTGTACCCCCATAATATGCCGAAATAAAAAAAAATGATAATTATCAAGTTACCATTTTAAAAATGATAGTAGCAGAACTGGGAACCAAATAAAATTAAACCGATTTAAATTCAGACACTAAAAAAAAAACCTATTAAAGAATACATTTCCTCAAATCTTACCCAAATCATACTATGGTTATTAAATATTTTATTGATTTTCAAAAGTATTTAAATATTAATTCAGAAAGGAATTTTTGTTAAGTATATATTTTATAATAGCATACTAAAATCACTTTAATATCACTGAAATACTTACTCTCTGAGACTTGGCTCTTTGAAATGGAGAGGAGTACACTTTCTTCTTCTACTTTGCACCTCTGATGACAGATCTTCTGACTTATTTTCAGGTTCAGTAGTGTTATTTGAAACAAACCTTGTATTTGTCAAGTCCTGTAATGGTCTATCACCTGAAAAGAATATCATTTTTCACAAACACTCATAAACGTATATAGAGATGGAAACAGATATGGGCATATAGTGGTTTGCAAATCATTGGAGCAAATTTTAAAACAATTCAATTTTTAGAGGACAGAGACTAAAATTCGAAACTATCCAAGTAGATAGCCTGCAACCTTTTTATTCTGAAATCACATACAGGCTGACAAAAATTCCTCATAATTCAACTCTTTTCACAAAGCACACAAATTATTGCACATTCAATGTATATGCCACTGATTGCCACAGTGTGAAAGGCACTGTGAGCAGCAGAGATGAAAGCTGTTTCACCAGTCTTCTAACAATATCCTGCAACTCTAGGCCTTTGTACTTCTTTTGCTTCAATGTGCTTTTTAGCTGGATTAGCCTTATCCATCAAAATCCTAGTGTTCTACGTATATATATTGAAATGTTAGGTTCCCAGTAAAAATTTTAATTTTTAAAGGAATATCTAAGGTTACAAAATATCTAGCGGTAAAAGAACCCCCTTAGGATTCAATATTAAGGGGGAAAAGTGGGATAAATAATGTGTATGTAGTATAATTTCAAATATATATTTAAAAAGCCATAGATTCAGGTCTGCATTCTGCATGCACATGGCAAAATGGTGACTGTAATTCTACCAAGTGATATTTTACCTGTCCTTTTTCTAATTCTCTATTTTCTGCAATGAGTATTATTTTAATAACTAGAAGAATATAAAAAGTAAACACTACAGGTAACAATCTTACTTATCCTTTACGGCTGCGGTCTCCAACCCTTGGGCCATGGGGGTTAGGAGATAGGTCCACAGAGCTATGCCACCTCCACTACATGGAAAAATTGTCTTCCATGAAACTGGCTGTTGGTGCCAAAAAGGTTGGGGACTGCTGCTTTAGGGCCTAAGTGTTACCTAGCTAATGATGCCTTTGCAGATTCCTCTAGTCAAAATTACTCCCCATTACACCCCTTAGCATAGTATATGTGCTTTTGTTAAATAATCATTTACCACATTTCAACACTGTGTTTGTTTCTTTTATATACATGTATTTTGAGGAAAGGGGGCTGGTATTATTTATTTTTCAGTCCTCCACAACACCCAGAATAATGCTTTGATCACATTAAATATATGCTGCTGAATGGAGTAGAATTCCCACCCTTAAGAAACTTGCAATCATGTCTGGTAAAACAAAACCAGTGCTATTCATTATTATATGCATTTGAAACATTCAATTTCTTTCAAATAACATGAAAAAGGAAATTATCTGCCTAACTTTGTGGTAAAGGCCAAATCAGATTTTTAGGCTGTAAATGCCCAAGATACTTTCACTATTATCTTCCCAAAGATAATCTTTCTTTAGATTCCTTCATGCTGTTTCTATAGATCATAAATGCTACACAGCTATCTATATATTTTTAAAGTCCATAAAAGTATCAGTTATAGCAGAAAATATTTTACTAAATGAAAAAAATCTTAAAAGATAATACTTCTAAAATTTTATCACTTCAGGTTATTGACCTACCTATTCCTGATTTTTGTGCTCTCTGGTTGACATTACATTTTGTCTCGTTCATCTTCTCATGCATACCGTCATTTACTTGAAAGCTTGGTGAACACTCTAGGTCAAAATTTTCTTTTATTATCAGATTTTTACTAGAAGAAATACTCAAAGGTACTGAACCTTCATGAACATTGTCAAAGGAAGAATCTTGTGTGTTAGGTGAATATATCTGAGATAAAGATTTAAACATTTTTGTGTAAAAGTCTGGCTTAATTTTGACCATTTTCTCATTCTCCACATTGTTTTCCTTATCAGCTTGATAGGACTCAACTGACTTTCCCTGAACGGTGTCAACTATTACTTTATGGCTTTCTGGAGAAGGATCTATGGAGGTTTTCCTTTTTTTTGATTTGGATGTCCTTTTATTTACTTTTTTGACCTGGCACTCTCCTTCTTTTATCACTTCCACAAAGTGGATTTCTGTTTTTTTATTCAGAGTTGTAGTTCTTTGCTTCTGAGTCTTAGGTATTTCAGTTGGATTTCCTGGATCAGAATCTGCTTCACTAGCATTATGTTTTAAATCAGCTTCTAAGGACATTGGTATCTCTGAAGAATCTATTAACTGCAAAACAGATTTGTTCTTACTTTTTGTCAAAATGTTCTTTGCTTTGCCTGATGATTCTTTCTTACATTTTTTAACTAGTTGGTGAAGATCTGAGATTTGCCCACAACTTTCCTTTTCATTACTATTGATTTCTACAGAGTATCCACCAATAATGGCTTGGCCTTCAAGTTTTTGTTTAGATTTATTTATTTTGAAATCAAGATCTCTTCTGTAGTTTTCTTGGCTGTCCATACCTTTATTCTCACATATTTGGTTCATTTCAGATATTATTTCTGTCTTCCGATTTACTTTATGCCTAAGCTTCTTATTTATTTTTGATTCATTTTGCTCAGCAGGTTGTGTATCAGCGACAGACTTTTTCAAATCCAATATATTCTGGGTCTCATAATAACATAAATTTCCATTATCTTTGGTGGGAAGATCAGCTGTTTGAAATTCATTTGTGACTTGTAGGTTTTCAGAAATGGTTTCTTTATCTTTTTGGGTTGGAGAAAAGAAGTTACCTTTTTCTCGGTCATGCACGCCTTTGTCATCGTTCTCATATATTTTATTAATTTCAGAAATTATTTCTGTTTTTCGAAATACCTTTTGTTTAAGCTTCCTATCTATTTTTGGATCATTCTGACAAGCAGGTTGCATATCATGGACATGCTTTTTCACCCCCAAAACATGCTGAGTCTGATAACCACATAGGTTTCCACTATTTTTAGTAGAAAAAAGAGGTGTTTGAAACTCACTTGAGTCTTCTAGGTTTTTAGGGATAATTTCTTTGTCCTTTTGGGTTAGAAAGAAAGAGTTACCTTTTACTGGACAATGCTCATTTTTGTTTTTATCTAAATGATTCACTTCAGAAATTATTTCTGTCTTCCGATTTACTTTCTGCCTAAGCTTCTTATTAACTTTTGATTCGTTTTGCTGAACAGGGTATACATCAGTGATCTGTTTTTGCAAACCAAATACATCCTGGGCCTCACAATCACCATTATCTCTGGTAAAAACAGAAGGTATTTGAAACTCATTTGCAACTTCTAGGTTTCCAGAGATAGTTTCTTTATCCTCTTGGGGTTGTAAGAAAACATTATCTTTTTGGGTGCCATATACATCTTTATCATTATCCTCACATATTTGGTTCATTCCAGAAATTATTTCTGTCTTCCGACTTACTTTCTTCCTAAGCTTATTTATTTTTGATTCATTTTGCTCAGCAGGTCGCATATCAATGATATACTCATTGAAATCCAACATATTCTGGGTCTCATAATCATATAAATTTCCATTATCTTTGGAGGAAAGATTGGCTGTTTGAAATTCATTTGTGACTTCTAGGTTTTCAGAAATGGTTACATTATCCTTTTGGTTTGGGAATAAGTTATCTTTTTCTAATTTATGAATCACAAATGTCTGTCTAGAAGCTTTACTTTTATTACAAGTTAGGGAATTCTGACCCATATCAAATTTACTCTCCTGCCGGAATTTATCTGAACTTTGGGAGAAGGAATAAGTTTCCTCTTGTTTATTTGTTACATGTATTCTTTTCTTCTTTTTATTACACTGTGTATTTTGCCTGTCATCTTGATCAAAGTCATTATGAAGGGTTATTTTCTCTAGGATGTCAGCCTGGGTCAGCTGTTTGGTATTGAAAATAAAATCTGGATCTTCTGAATCCCTTTTGCCATCCAGGACAACAGATCTTCTTTCTGGTCCGTTTTCAATCTTTTCCTCAATATCCACATCTGAACTATTTTCAAATTGTCTCTTTGATCTTTCTCTCCTTTTGTCAGAGCTTGAATCTTTCACTTTTCTGAAAGTTTTCGTTCCACACTCCTTTGTTTTTTTATTACTTTTATTTTTAGTGCCTGTTGAAACTGTCACAATTTTGCTTACTTCACTAGCAGTTAAATCCATGTCAGCATCATACACAGTTTTCTGCAATTGAAAGTCATCATTATCCTGAACTTGATTCACGTACTCTGCATTAGGTTCACCAGGAGACTTGGAAGATAAGCCAGGAAGATACTGTTTATTTCTTTGCATTGTAGTATTCTTTATGTTAATATGATCATTTATCTCATTATTCCTATTTAATTCTGGACTTGAAATCTGTTGTTGACCTAAATCTGTCACACAGGGAATGTCTGCAGAAAGATTATTTGACTCCCAAGATGATCCACGCTTCTTTCTTTCAGTCACGTTACTAGGAGATGATTCCCATCTATGGCCTACAGGTGAGGCATTTCTTATCTCACTCATTAGAGAACTCTTGGAACTTTGATCTGAGTGATAATGGCTTTCTATTAAAAAGAAGAAAAACAAAATTCAGAAATAAGTACTAAGTTACCCTAAACAAGTCACATTTTACATTTGTATTGATGGAAAATATCTACTGAGAATTCACTACCTCAGCCCCAAAAGTAGAGTACAGTCAACAGTAGAGCCGTTAACATACATTTCTAGAATGGAAGGAGGTCAGCAAATGAAGCCAAATAACAATGGTAACCCTGATAAGGATTACTATCAAAAGGCTATCAGGGCCAGGCGTGGTGGCTCACGCCTGTAATCCCAGAACTCTGGGAGGCCCAGGCCGGCAGATTGCTCTAGGTCAGGAGTTCGAAAGCAGCCTGAGCAAGACCCCGTTTCTACTATAAATAGAAAGAAATTAATTGGCCAACTAATATATATAGAAAAAAAAAATTAGCCAGGCATGGTGGCGCATGCCTGTAGTCCCAGCTACTGGGGAGGCTGAGGCAGGAGGATCACTTGAGCCCAGGAGTTTGAGGTTGCTGTGAGCTAGGCTGACGCCACGGCACTCACTCAAGCCTGGGCAACAAAGTGAGACTCTGTCTCAAAAAAAAAAAAAAAAAAAAAAGGCTATCAGCAGGAAGCTAAAGTTTATATAAATTTTATATTTTTGTATGTATACAAACACACAAACACATACACACAAATCCCCCGAAAGGAAAAATAATTCTAAGCTCTAAATTCCATAAAATAGTTAGGCACTTTGGGAGGCTAAGGATGGAAAATCACTTAAGGCCAGGAGTTTAAGACCAGCCTAGGCAACAGAGTGAGACCCCGGTCTCTACAAAAAAATTTTAAAAATTAGTTGGGCATGGTGGCACATGCCTGTAGTCCCAGCTACTCAGAAGGCTGAAACAGGAGAATCATTTGAGCCAAGGAGTTTGAGGTTTCAGTGAGCTATGATGATGTACCTGTACTCTAGCCTAGGCAACAGAACCAGACCCTAACTCAAAACAATAAACATAAATAAATAAATTTGATATAGTTATGGTCCCATATTCCAATTTGAAAATCCATGACAAATCCATAAGCACCATAGACTATACCACAGGATTATTATTTAGTAACATCACCAGGTAAATAAAATGTAAGTGCCATTACTCTTTCTTGCTCAATCATTACCCAGGCTCAAGTTTTTGCATTATCACTAATTGGTTATAACCTTTAAAAAGTTACTATACCTGTGTAGGCCCCCAATTTTCATATCTATGAAAAGAAGAGGGTGAAACTAAATATATAAATATATGGTATCTTTCAAGTCATAAGCCAAGGTACCCAGAAAAGCTCTTTAGACCTGTTCATTTTTAAACATTGCTTCCAAAGTAACAGTATTAAGCCACTGTGGATTTGACATTTGTCAGCATATTTACTTTTAAATTAAATTTTCATCAGCAGTTTTGAATGGTACCAGTTAGCAAATCTGTAACATAAGATATCTAATTTATTAAATGTTTATACATCATTGCCCTCAGGAAGAAAATATGATGAGTCTAACTATTTAATACTAATACTCAAAATGAATTTTTAAACAATCTCACCTTTGGGAAGTAGTACATCAACAACAGAAGAAATATATTCTGAATCATCTAAACCACATACATTCTGATTATTTTCTTTAAGAAATGACACTTCCAAATTACACTGAGTTGATAAAGGTTGTCTTGTTGATACTGAAGAGGGAATATTAGGTGATGTCTTTGATTTAATATTGTTGTCACACTGCAGTTTCTCTTTGTCGTCATCATCATCATCATCATCATCATCATCATTTGAAGTTAATGGAACCCTAAAGGCAAGTGGGAACAAAATGAGGAATTTTGTATTTTGAAAAATTATTTAGAAAAGTGTACGGACAGTTCTTTCTATATTCCATTTATTTAAGATCCAACCATAAAACCCAAAAAGTGGAAACAACACAAGTGTCTGTAAATTGATGAATAAATTAAAAACCGTGTTAAATCCATACAATAAAATATTATTCAGTCATAAAAAAAGAATGAAATATTAATATATGCTACAACTTGAAGTATACCTTGAAACTAGTATACTAAGGGAAAGAAGCCAGACACAAAAAGACCACATATTGTATGATTTCATTCATGTGAAATTTCCAAAATGGGCAAACACATTTAGACAGAAAGTCAATTAGTGGTTACCAGGGAATAGGGGAGCAGAGAATGTAAAGTGACTGCTAATAAATATGAGATTTCTTTTTAGAGATGGAAATATTATGGAATTGGACAGTGGCGAAGGTTGCATAATTTTGTGAAATATTAAAAACCACAGCACTGTGTACGTTAAAAAGGTGAATTTCACATTATAGGAAATTTTGTATTATACAAATTATGTATCTCAATGTTTTAAAAAGGAAATAATAAAGAATAGACACCAATGAAATATAAAGCAAAAAAAAATTTAGTAAAATAAAATCAATGAAGCCAAAAGCTCAGTTTTTTTAAAAGAACAATAAAATTGACACACCTGTACCTAGTTTGATCAAAGAAGATACATATTGCCAGTATCAGGAAAGAAGGATCTCACTACAGATGCTAAAAGTATTAAAAAATAAGAAGAGTATATTATAAACAGCTTTATGCCAATAAACTTGATTGCCTAGATTAAATGGATGATTTTCTTGAAAGACAAACATTTTCTAAATTGAGTTGAAAAAAACTCAGAAAATATAAAAAGCCCCACATCTATTTAAGAAATTAAATTATTAATAATAATTAAGAATTCCAGCCCAAATTACTTCTCTTGTGAATTCTATTAAAGACTTAATGAAAAAAATACCAATTGTACAAACTCTTTCAGAAAATAGAGGAAGAGAGAATGCTTCTAATATCTATTTTATAAGGTTAGCAAAACCCTTATCAAAACCTATTAAAGATTTTATAAGCAAATTACAGACCAATATCTCTCATGAACACAGGACATTTTTAAGGCAAATATTAACAAATCAAACCCAGCAATATATAGAAAGAATAATACACCATGACCAAGTGAAATTTATTCTAGGAATGCAAAGTTGGCATTAGAAAGTCAACTGAAGTCACTGTACTGATAGAACAAATGAGAAAAATTATGATTCTCTCCACAAATACAGAAAAAGCATTTGACAAAATTTAATACAAATTCATTATAAAAACTCTCAGAAAACCAGAAGAAAAAGGAACTTCAGTTTGCAAAAAGGGTGTTAATTTTTCAACAGAAAAGATAGAAGCATGAAGACAATGAAATGACACCTGACTGAACCTATATGCATTTTAAATATAAAAGAATTTGAAAATAAAGGTATAGAAAAGATATATCACAGATATACTAAACCAGATGAAATAGACTTTAAAGCAGGAATCATTTCTAGGAATATTTCATATTGATAAAACAATTCATCAGTAAAACAAATAAGTCCTAAATTTATGTGTACTTAATATCAGCTTTTTGAAATATTTAAAGCAACTAAAACAAATAAATAAATAAATACATTCATAATCATACTGGTAGATTGTAATGAACTTCTCTCAATAGTTGATAGAATAAACAGACAGAAGAAGCAGAAAGGATATAGAAGACCTGAATGATATAATTAACAAACTTGACACAACTGAAATATATAGAATATTACATTCAACAATTGTAAAATACACATTTTTTTTCATGTGCACTCTAAATATTTACCAAATTAGATCAAGCTGTATCCTAATGCAAATCTCAATACATTTCAAAAACTAAAATCATCTGAAATATGTTCTCTATACAGCGGAATTAAGCTAGAAATCAACAACAAAAAGGACAAAAAAACCCCACGCCACTCCTTGAAAATTCAATAATACATTTGTAAATGATCCATAGTGTCAAAGAATGAATCAGAACAGAAAATATTTTGAACTGAATAATAAGAATATGGCATATGAAAAATTATGAAGCCAGGTATGGTGGTGCTAGCCTGTAGTCCCACCTGTTTAGGAAGCTGAGGCAAGAGGATTGCTTGAACCCAAGAGTTTGAATCCAGCCTGGGCAAAATAGCAAGAACCCATCCAAAAAAAAAAAAAAAAGAATTCAGACACAGCTAAAGCAAGTACTTATGGGAAAATAGCCATAAATGATTATTTTTAAAAGGCTGAAAATAGATAATTTAAACTATCTCAAGAAATAAATAATAAGAGTAATAAGAATAAAATTGAAAACAGAAAGAAAAAAAGAAATAATAAGGATAGAATCAATGAAAGAGAAAACAAATATACTAAAACAGAAACAAAAAACCCCTTTGCAAAAACAAAATTTATAAACCCCTTAGAGCAAGACTAATAAAAAAAAGTGATAAACCATAACCAATAATGAGAAAGACAGACCATCACTACATATCTTATACATATTAAGCATGTAACTTGCATGCTATTATGAACAACTTTATGCCAATAATTTGACACTTTAGATGAAATGGTTAAATTCTGTTAAAAACTTAACAAACCTGACACAAATGAAGAAATGGAAAATCTGAATATTCTTATATCTACTAAAGAAATGAGATGTTATCAAAAACCCCTCCACAAGAAAACTGCAGGCCCAGATTACTTTTCCCAAACATTTAAAGAAAAAATATCAATTTTACATAAAAACTTCCAGAAAACAAAAAAAGTACACTGAGAATTTATTTATTATGACTAGTATAATAAAAACACAAAAACCTAAGAAAATATGTTACAAGAAACAAAACTTATAAACCATTTTCATCATTAACGTACATGCAAAAATCCTTTTAAAAATTAGCAAATAGAATTTTGTGATATATCAAAAGGATATGTATCATCAGTAACAGTTCACTAAAGGAATGTAATGGTGGTTTAATATTCAAAAATATCAATCCTTATAATTCATTATATGAGTAGAAAAATTATCAAAAAGTCATAACATTAATAGAAAAAAGAAAAAACATTATTTTCCCAATAGTGACAGGAAAAGCATTTGATAAAATTCAACAACCATTCATGAAAAAACTCTCAGCAAACAGGACTACAACTGAACTCTTTTAATCTGATAAAGAGAATTTATAAAAACTCAAGAGTAACCATAATATTTAATAATGGAAACATAGTAAGAATGCCTGCTGTTACTACTTCTATTCAATATTGAACAAGAAGTAGCCAATGCAATAAAGTAGGAAAAATAAATAAATAAAATATTTATAAATTATGAGGGCACAGAGAAGAAAACTTTCCTTATTCACAAATAATAATATTCATAGAAAATACAAAAAAATCACCCCAACAAACTATTAGAATTAATAGCAAAGTACTGAATTTATATATATTCCTAGTAATTCTACTTCAAGGTATATACCCCACAGAAATGTGTACACACATTCATCAAAAAGCATATATATGGCAGCCCTATTTGTAATAGACCAAAACTGGAAAACCAATGAAATGTTCAATATAAGAAGAACAAATAAATTGTAGTATTGAACAGAGTCCCCATTCATAGATGGTGCTGGGAAAACTGGATAGCCACAAGTAGAAGACTGAAACAGGATCCACACCTTTCACCTCTCACAAAAATCAACTCACAATGGATAATAGAGTTGAACCTAAGACATGAAAACATAAGAATCCTAGAAGAAAATGTTGGGAAAACTCTTACAGACATTGGCCTAGGCAAAGAATTTATGAAGAAGACCCTAAAAGCAATCACAGCAACAACAAAAATAAATAAATGGGACCTGATCAAATTAAAAAGCTTCTGCACAGCCAAAGAAACTATCACTAGAGCAAATAGACAACCTATAGAATGGGAGAAAATATTTACATGGTATACATCTGATAAAGGGCTGATAACTAGAATCTATATAGAACTCAGGAAAATCAGTAAGAAAAAATACAACCACCCCATTAAAAAATTGGCAAAGGACATGAACAGAAACTTTTCAAAAGAAGATAGACTAATGGCCAGAAACATATGAAAAAATGCTCAACATCTCTAATCATCAGGGAAATGCAAATCAAAACCACAATGAGGCCGCGGTGGCTCACGCCTGTAATCCTAGCTCTCTGGGAGGCCGAGGTGGGCGGATTGCTCAAGGTCAAGGATTCAAACCACCTGAGCAAGAGCAAGACCCCGTCTACTATAAATAGAAATAAATTATTGGCCAACTGAATGTATATAAAAATTAGCCGGGCATGGTGGCGCAAGCTGTAGTCCAGCTACTCGGGAGCTGAGGCAGAGGATCGCTGGAGCCAGGAGTGTTGAGTTGCTGTGAGCTAGGCTGATGCCACGGCACTCACTCTAGCCTGGACGACAAAGCGAGACTCTGTCTCAAAAAAAAAAAAAAAAAAAAAACCACAATGAAATATCACTTAACTCCAGTGAGAATGACTTTTATCAAAAAGTCTCAAAACAGGCCGGGCGCGGTGGCTCACGCCTGTAACACTAGCACTCTGGAGCGAAGGCGGTGGATTGCCTGTGAGGTCAGGAGTTCTGAAACACCTGAGCAAGACAAGACCCGTCTCTACTATCAAATAGAAAAAATAAAATTAATTGGCCAACTAATATGATCGAAAAAAAAGGCCGACCCCCGCGCCCGCCCCCCACGCGACCGGAGAAAAAATTAGCAGGGCTATGGTTGGCACCATGCCTGGTAGTTCCCAGCCTACTTGGGAGGCTGGGCGGAGATTGCGTTGAGCCCAGGAGTTTTGAGGTTGCTGTGAGCTAGGCTGAAGACGCCACGGCAACTCATCTAGCCCTGGCAAACAAAGCAGAGCTCTGTTCCTCACAAAAAAAAAAAAAGTCTCAAAACAACAATGTTGGTGTGGATGTGGAGAGATAGGAACACTCATGCACTGCTGGTGGGACTGCAAACTAGTACAACCTCTATGGAAAGTAATATAGGAATATCTCAAAAAACTAAAAGTACCTTTCAATCCAGCAATCCCACTAGTGGGTATCTACCCAAAGGAAAAAAAGTCATCATATAATAAAGACATCTGCACTTGAATGTCCATAGTAGCACAATTCACAATTGCAAAGATGTGGAAACAACCCAAGTGCCCATCAGTACATGAGTGGATTAATAAAATGTGGTGTATGTATACCATGGAGTACTACTTGGTCACAAAAAACAATGGTGTACTAAACACTGCTTGTATTATCCTGGTTGGTGCTGGAGCCCATTCTTCTAAGTAAAGTATCACAAGAATGGACAAACAAGCACCACGTGTACTCACTATCGAATTGGTACTAATTAATGAATACTTAGGTACACATATGCAAGTAGCATTCACTGAGTGTCAAGCAAGAGGGACGGGGAGGAGAGGATAGATAAATTCACACCTAATGGGTACAGTACGCACTGTTCAGGGATGGGAATGTTCGTAGCTATGACTTGGACGGTGCAAAGGCAATATATGTAAACTCAACATTTGTACCCCTATAATATTTTGAAATAAAAAAAGAAAAAAAATTGTGGCATAATCTTACAATGGAACACTATACATCGGGGAGAATAAATGATTTATAACTACATACAGCAATATGGCTGAATCTAAGAAATGTAATGCTGAGCAAAAGAAACCAGAGATATGAAACATATGTTACATGATTTCATTATATGAAGTTCAAAACCTTGCAAAATTAAACTGATCTATGATGTTAGATGTCAGGATATTATTTATCTTTGGGTGGGTGTTGGGTAATGACTAGAAAGGGGGCACAAGGGAATATCTGAGATATTGGTAATACACTGTTTCTCAGTCTGGATATTTTATAACAGTGTTCACTTTGTGAAAATCTACTGTGTTCTGATGTGTATACTTTAAACAACAGCTCACCTAAAAACACATAATAAAATTTTTTGGAAGGCAAGTAGACACTTGATTTGTATGTCTATATGAAACAGTATGTGTATAATGACAATCAATATATTTTTGAAAAAGAACTAAGGACCTAAAAGACAACAAAATTTACTATTTTAAAACTAAAGCAATTACAATTTACTGGTACACAGTGGTAATAGTACACATAATAGGCAAATCAATGGAACAAACTAGAATGAATATAAAGTGACTCAGCAGATATGAGAATTTTTTACTATGGTACACACAGCATTTCAATATATAAGTGCATTTACGTGTGCACTTAAGTAAAAGCATTACAACTGTAAGTTGTACAACAGAAAGAACACTGTCTAAAAGAGACAAGAGAATTTTGGCTAATGCTATTAATTAGCTCAGTCATTTTACCTGTCTGGGCTTCAATGATTGACCCCTATAATGACAGTTTTGAAATAATTGTGCTTTCAATGACTTATAATCGAATTAATTGAAAAATGAGAATTTTGGACATGAGGAGAATAACAAAGATGAGGGTTAAGGCTGGGCATAGTGGCTCACGCCTGTAATCCGAGTATTCTAGGTGGCCGAGGCGGGCAGATCGCTCAAGGTCAGGAGTTTGAGACCAATTTGAGAAAAAGCAAGACTCTGTCTCTACTAAAAATAGAAAGAAATTAATTGGCCAACTAAAAATATATAGAAAAAATTAGCCAGGCATGGTGGCGCATGCCGGTAGTCTCAGCTACTCAGGAAGCTGAGGCAGGAGGATTGCTTGAGCCCAGGAGTTTGAGGTTACTGTGAGCTAGGCTGATGCCATGGCACTCTAGCCTGGGCAACAAAGTGAGACTCTGTCTCAAAAAAAAAAAAAGATGAGAGTTAACTTTAAAGCTTGGGGCAGGCACACAAGAGAGTAAAGGCAGTCATTTGATTTACCTAGCAAAAAACAAGATGGGGCTGGTGATGACCTGGAAGAAAAGAAAAAAAAAAAGAAAATGAAAAGAAGCAGGACACTACAGATGAACTTGGTTATTGAATTGAGGGTAAGTGTCCTTGGAGTCCTGGAGACACAACCTATACCACTTCATTCCCACCTTAATAGGCAACTACAGGTTGATGAATCCTGAACATTGTACAATGCACACAAACACTGTGTTATATAAAATCTAAGTACTCTGAACCAGTGTAATTCAAGCCCATATTTACCTTGCAAATGGAAGACGCAGCAACTTGGACTGTTGACTAATCCGTTTCTTCTTGCTAGCTGGCAGTAGAAAAGAACTCTGATGGAACTATTTTTGAAAAGAACAAAGAAAATGCAAAGAAAAAAAGTTTCTAACCTCATTAAATCATGTTGTTTTTGAAGTATCAAATTACAGAATGACATCTATAATAAAAGAACAATTCTTACATTAACCTTCAATAGTTTAATGAAAATAATGTGATGGTAAGGTCATCCTTAATCATCCCAACCAAAGATAATAACTACCAATATTTTGGTACATGATCTTCCAAACATTCTTCTATGGAGAGGAATAAATTATGTGCTGCGGTCCCCAACCCCCAGCTATGGCCTAGTACCAGTCCGTGGCCTGTTAGGAACCAGGACGCACATCACAACCTGAGCTCTGCCTCCCCTCACCCGCCACCCAGTCCCATGAAAAAATTGTCTTCCATGAAACTTAGGAACTAGACATACAGCAGGAGGTGAGTGCTGGGCAAGCCAGTGCTAGCTTCATCTGTATAGACAGCTGCTCCCCATCCCTCACATCACTGCCTGAGCTCTGCCCCCTTGTCCATGGAAAAATTGTCTTCCATGAAACTGGTCTCTGGTGCCAAAAATGTTGGAGACTGCTGTATATGCATATACCCACACATATACAATATCTCTACTTATATATACAATACGTTCATGTCTACATATGTATTATGCAATACATGATTGGATTTTATAATACATATTTTAAATGGCTTTTAAAAATTCAAAGTCTGGGTGATTTTAGTATATCCTTTACATTTTTGTTTATCTATATTTTCTGACACAAACATATTTTAATTATTTAATAAAGTCCAGAAAATCAGGCAACATACAACCATGTTTTTCTATTACAGAGCTAATCTGTAATAGAAACAGGGGTATGGCCAAATTAACAAGCTGATGTTAAAATGCATATGGAAATGTAAAAGACCTGGAATAGCTACAGCAACTTTGAAAAGGAAGAAAGATGTTAGAGGGTTACAGTAATTGAGACAGTGTAGTATTAACATAAACACAGACAAATAGATCAACTAAATAGAACAGAGTACAGAAATGGACCCACACACACTTGGGCAGTCAATGTTTGGCAAAGGCACAAAGGCCAAATGGGAAACTTAGACTTGCCATATTGCCAGGCTATAACAAGGCAATTCTCCTCTAAACCACGGGTACTGTCAGAAAAGGCATGGGATAGCCCAGTGGTAAAGAGCACCTCCCCACCCAGTGATGTTCATGGAGGACATATCTGGATTTACATCCTGTTTCATATTCTTTTTACAAGATGGTCAGTCAGGCGTGGTCATTAAGAGGAGATGGCGAGGTCCCTAATTGTCTAGCACCTAGCCTAGGGATGGATCAGAACAGAGGAATATTGCCTTCTGAGATGTAAGGGCCAGATAGAGGAGGTATGGCTCTGGATTGGTTAGTTTGCATATGGTGGTATGGTGGTATGGTTTGAATATCTCCTCCAAAATTGACACTGAAATTTAATTGCCACTGTGATGGTATTAAGAGGTGGGACCTTTAAGAGGGGATTAGGTCATGAGGCTCTGCCCTCATGAACAGATTAATGTCATTATCACAGGAGTGGGTTAGTTATAAAGGGATTTCAACCTCTTTTTCTTTCTCTCTTGTGTGCTCACTTGCCCTTCCACCTTCTGTCATGGAATAACCCTTACCAGATGCTAGTGCTATGCTCTTGGACTTCCCAGCCTCAGAACTGTGAACCAAATAAATCTCTATTCTTTATTAATTACCCAGTCTGATATTCTGTTCTAGCAGCAGAAAATGGACTAAATCGAATGGCATATTCATTGCTGAGCCCATACTATCTCTAAGAATTGCTTAGCCCTGGGAAGGACAGTGCCTTTTCAGCCAATGAAGTTTTTAAAGATGTCAAAACATCTTAATATACAGAAAATAAAATGTATACATTATACATCCCACTTGGTGATAAGGAGTCCCCCTCTGTCTCCTCAATGGTGGTGGAGGAGGTCTAATGGAGAACTAGGATTTTCACCATTCTTCAGTGGTAACAACCCCTGCCCTCATTCTCCCCCTTCAGCCTGGTGTCAGTAGAGGTCATGAAAGATACGAAGTACGAATCCCTATTTCAGCCAGGGTAGTAACAGCCCAAACTCCGAGCCCAACTCATTAGGTATCAACGGAGGCTGAATGCAGAGTCTAAATTTCAACCCCCATTTGGCAGTACCTCCGCTTATCACCAGTGTAGTGTCAAAGGAGGTCTGCTTAAACATAAGATTTAAATAAGATCTGATGCCTCATAATCACCCAATATGTCCAAGATACAATCAAAAATCATTCATACCAAAAATCAGAAAACTCTAAATTTGAATGAGAAAAGACTCAACAGACACCAGCACCAAGATGACACAAATGTTGCAATTATCCAACAAGAATTTTAAAGCAACCATCATAAAATGCTTCAACAAATTACTAATATGCTTAAAACAAATGAAAAAAAAAATAGAAAGTACTAATAACTAAATAGAAGATGTAAAGAACCAAATGGAAATTTAAAACTGAAAAATGTAATAACCAAATAAAATAAAATAAAATAAAAAATCCAGTGGGCTCGACAACAAAACAGAGAGGACAGAGGGGGGAAAAATTAGTGAACCTGAAAACAAAACAGAAATTACCCAAACTATACAAGAGAGAAGAGAAACTGAAAAAACTAACAGAGGATCAGAGATTTGTAAGACTATAGCAAAAGATATAACATTTATGTCATCAGAGTCCTAAAAGGAAAGGAGAAAGAGGGCAGGGCTAGAAAAGTATTTGGAGAAATAATAGCTGAAAGTGTCCCAAACTTGGCAAAGATACTGACCTACAGATTCAAGAGGCTGAATGAATCCCTAAAAGGACAAACCCAAAGAAATTCATGCCAAAAACCTACATCATCAAAGTCAAAATTAACTCAAAATTAAACTCAAAAGATGATACTTCTAAAAGAACAAAACAGAAAAACTGCAATAAGCTAACACTGTGAAAATAAGATAGAGAAAAGTCCAAATATAAAAAATTAGTCAACTGGCAAAAAACAACATAGGCAAAAATAAAAAATAATGACAGACTACTTTGGTCAATTCTGTAAAAATCAGTTTAAAAACCTGGATGAAACAGATAATTTTCTAAGGAAAGATAATTTAATAAAACTGATCATGGAAGAAAGAAAGACATTCTCCTAAAAAGACCAATATCCATAGAAGAAATAAAGTTAACAAAGAACTACTACCACTCCCACCAAAGAAGTCCCAGGTCCAGATGGTTTGATAGAAGAATTCTATCTTTAAAAAAACAATAAGTTTGATACTATATCACTTGTCCAGGGCATAATAGAAGGAAAACATCCAAATTCTTTTTCTTTGCTTAATATATAGAACATTTTTATCAGCGGCTAAACACTGTATAGAAAGAAAACTTCAAAGAGAATTCTCTTATGCATAACAATAGAAAGATCCTCAACAAAATACCGGCAAAAAGGAATTCACCAGCACATTAACAGAACAATAAATCATATCTGAACTTTATTCCAAAAATGCAAAATTAGGAAAGCTACAAAAATAATCATATTAAGACACCTAAAAGAAAGACCATATGATCATCATCATAATAAAAAATTATTTTACATCATTTAGCATTATTTTTATTTTAAAAGCTTAATAACAGAGGGATTGCAAGAAAAATACATACCTTACTCTTTTATTTAAAAAAGCAAAAAAAGCATCATTCTTAATGTGGAAACACTATTCAACATTTTAAGCATATTTATTACATTTTACCATATTCTAGACTTTATTAAGTGAGACTCTGTCTCAAAAAAAAAAATAAAAATAAAAATAAAAAAATAAAAAATTATTTTACATCATTTAGCATTATTTTTATTTTAAAAGCTTAATAACAGAGGGATTGCAAGAAAAATACATACCTCACTCTTTTATTTAAAAAAGCAAAAAAAGCATCATTCTTAATGTGGAAACACTATTCAACATTTTAAGCATATTTATTACATTTTACCATATTCTAGACTTTATTCTAGTATAGAGGAAAATCCCTGCACTCAAGAAGCTTATATTCCTATGGTACAAATAATAAACAAAATCATGTTATATAGTGTTAAGTGCTAAGAAGAAAATTAAAGCAAGAAAAGCAGGATATGAAAAGTAGGGGCAAAGGTGGGAACATGTTTAAATTTATAGAGTTGCCAAGGAAGGATTCACTGAAGTGACTTTTGAGTCAAAATTTGAAGGAAGAGAACTTGCCAAGTGAATGAAGTGTACAAAGGCACTGCAGGGAAAGTTTGTGTTTGAGGGAGCAGGAAGAGAACTGTGCTCTGAAGAGGTTAGAGTAGAATAAGGGGGAAAGCAGTAAATGAGGAGGGAGAAATAACAAGAATTTCAGTGTTCAAATCAAATCAGGCAATAGGTGACATAAGAAGCCACTGGAGAGTTTGAAGCAGAGACTAATATTTTAACAGGCTCACTCTGCCTACTATAATGAGAAGAGACTACAGAGAAATAGGGCAGAAGCAAGAAGGCCAAGTTCACATGCTTTTATAATATTTAGGTAAGATATAATGGTGCCTTGGACATGGGTAGTGAAAGAGGGACATGAGAAGTGGTAGAATCTGGACTGGCTTTGAAGGCACAGCTAAAAGGATTTGTTAAAGGATCAGAAATGGGGTGAGAAAAAAAACGATAGGAAAATAGAATTGTAATTACTTCAGATGGAAACCTCAAAAGGAATTGGTTTGGTGGCAAATGTGAAATTTGAGATGGCTCTGATACATCCAAACAGGTGCCAAGTAGGTAATTCAATAGTGTATTACCTGGAGTTCAGAGAAGATGGACAAGCTATACATGCAAATTTGGGAATCATCAGTATAAAGCAGTAATTAAAACCAAAAGACAGAATGAAATTATTTATGGGGAATAAATGTAAAAAGTTTAAGAACAGAGTCCTAGGGCACTCCCAAAACTTAGCAGTCAGGAAAATAAAGAGGAACTATTAATAGCAAACAGACTGAAAAAGAATATCCGGAAAGGTATAGACTTAGGAGAGTGTGGTATCCTGAAAGTCACGTGAAGGGTGACATAAGAACCAACAATTATCCATGGGTTTTTGCAACACAGACATCATTGGTGACTTTCAGAAGACCAGCTTAGTGGAGTGGTGGTGAAAACCAAATGGGATGGGTCCAAGAGAAACCAGAGAAATGTGGGAACAACTCTCTCAAAAAGTTGTCATAAAGTCAAGGAGAAAACTGAGACAGTAGGTGGGAGGTAAGCAGAGTAAGAAGATTTTTGTTTTTTTTTTTTTAAGATAATAGATTACATTTTTGCATCCTGATGGGAATAATTCAGGAGGGAGGAAAAAAATTAATGATGCAAGAAGGAAAGGCATTCTACCCTAATGTCAAGCCAACAGTAAAAGACATCCTAAGTGTCTAACAAGAGTCTAGTTAAATACAGTAGAAGTCCATTCTAGATCTATTATAAGTAGCACTAAAAAAAGATTGAGTAAGCACTCCATGTAATCACATGGAGAGATCCCCAAAATATGTCACATAAAAAGTAAGGCATAGAGTAGTTGGTATAGTAAGCTATCTTTTGTGTAAGAAAGAAATTAAGAAAATGTTTATAATTTTTATTTGTTTTTATATAAACAAACAAATGTAAGAAGTTATCTGTATGATGCATGAAGTGTAGGGAGAAGAGAGAATGGAGAAGAAAGTAGCTGGAGGAAGGACAAAAGCATGTGTGAAACTTCATTCTATACTTTTCTATATTGTTCTGATGTTAAAACCACATGTCTATATGACCCATCACTCTCCCCACCAAACAACAACTACAGAGAAAAGGAATTATAAAACTTGATATGCAAAAGTTAGTCTATAAATAAGAAGTCCAGAAAGCAGACACCAACATTAGATGCTGTGCCTTCATCTTCCAGCTTCTGTAACCAGCTGCTCTCCATTTTCTACTTTTCCTTAATCTAGATGCTAATCACAGCCCTGTTTGGGTTTTCCAAGGAGAATCACACAGATAGCATTTGAGAACAATGTTGACTTTACTAAAAGATTTTTTAAAGAATCAGTGGAGGTTGTTTATAGCACATTAACTCTAAACCAGGCGTCCTCAAACTATGGCCCGCGGCCACATGCGGGTATTTTTGCCCGTTTGTTTTTTTACTTCAAAATAAGGTATGTGCAATGTGCATAGGAATTTGTTCAGAGTTTTTTTTAAACTATAGTCCGGCCCTCCAACAGTCTGATGGACAGTGAACTGGTCCCCTGTTTAAGAAGGTTGAGGACCACTGCTCTAAACAAACAGTTGAGAAACTTTTTTAGGGCTATTTGTCCTCCAAAGTTTCTTGGGGTACTGGTGATGACACTCCTACATCACACCAAACTAGTTTCTTTCTCTTACTCTCCAAGTCAATTCCTGTACTGACTCTGCACTCTCTACTGCTGTTATCACATTCCCCTCTAAGCAATTTATTCAGGGCATTTCAATTCTGTCCTGCAAGCAAAACAGAGTCTTCTCCCTGACTCGTCTGACCCACCCAGTGAAAACATCTCTTTTCCTTAAAGAGTGCTAAATATGTATAAAGTACACCCCTGGTCACTCATCCTAGATATCACATTTATAATGCTAGCAGCTAGCCACCACACCTCCTGTAAACATTCTTCCATAGGGGCATTTACACAAATTCTTTCTTCATCTAAATGTGGATTAAGTTAGATCATAAAGTATCCATTCTTTGGCTAGCTTTCATAAAAATTCTGACAAAGGAGCTAAATATTGACCATGTAGTTGAAAGAATGTAACTTCTTACCAAAAAGACTATGCATTTAAATTCAATAAAAAGCCTTATAAGTGACTTTTACACATATGATAAAAAAGACATACATTTATTTGACGCTATCATCAGAACACATGCTAGCCACATTTAACTCTTACAATAACTTTTTGTAGATATACTACCATTACCCACACCTTACAGATGAGAAAGCTAATGTCCAAAGAGCATAAGTCCAAGGTCATAGAACCAGGAAGTAGCAAAGTTGGGATCTATTTAATAAATACAGGCAGTCCCACTTAAAAGACAGGCTTTGAAGCACTAACCTGCCTCCAGAATCTATCAAGGAATTTATCTAAAATTGAGACTTCAGGCCTGGTGCAGTGGCTCAGGCCTATAATCCTAGCACTCTGGAAGGCCAAGGTGGAAGGATCACTTAGAGGCCAGGAGTTCAAGACCAGTCTGAGCAACACTGTGAGACCTCGTCTCTACAAAAAATAGAAAAATTTGCTTGGTGTGGCAACACACACCCGTAGTCCCAGCTACTTGGGAGGCTGAGGCAAGAGGAGTTTGAAATTGGCAAGAGCCCAGAAGTTTGAAATTATAGTGAGCTATGATTTATAGTGAGCTATGATGATGCCACTGTACTCTATCTAGCCTGTGGGCAACACAATGAAACCCTGTCTCAAAAAAAAAAAAAAAAAAAAAATTGAGACTTCACTATTCTTTCCTTATATATTTTGCCTTCTCATTAACTATCCTTCACAATACATTTTTCCTATTTAAATACTTGGGTTAATTTCACTAATATTTGGTCCTTCTTCCTTTCTGATTTTGCTACTGATTTTATTTTCCTTGTGCTAGATTAGAAGAGCTTTTTACAATTGATAATATTAATGCTCTGTCTGCCATATGTTAAATGATTTTCTCAGTTTGCAATTTATCTTTTATTTTTATGACTTTTAACTTCCTAAAAATTTTTTCTGAGGAAAATCCATCCATAGCTTTATGGTTTCTATCTTTGCTTCCAGGTATAGAAAAACTCCTCCTATATAACTTCAATTCATATGTATTTTCTTCTTATGTTGTATGATTTCCTTTTTTATATTAGAATCCATCTAGAATTTATTTTAGATAATGGTATAAAGTAGGATACGCCTTTATTTTTTCCCCAAGTAGGATGGACTTCTTCTTTTAAAGAAATAATACAAATTCTTTCCTATTTGAAATGCTACTTTTCTATTAATGTCTTCAAGTTTCTAAGCCTGTTTAGGGGCCAGTATGGTCCACTGAGCTAATACTGTTATTTTTAATAAAAACCTAATTTTTATATAATAATTTTAATAACCAATTATACAAAATGATAATATGCTTGCTGTTAGTCAGTTAATTGATATTATCATCATTCTGAAACATGAATCTCTAACCATGATCCTATTTAGTTTCAATTATTCTTGGTAATCTAAAAAATGATACTACTTACATATAAATTCTACTTACCTCAGAAAGACTGCTCATTTCAATTGCAGTTATCAAATTATTGTTCATGAGAGCTTCTATTTCTAAAAGCTTCTTATTCTGTAGATATAAAAAAAAGACCCCTTGTAATCAGTTAAGACTTGGAGTTTATTATAACACCATGCATTTATGAATACCATCAGTGTGAGAAAAATTAGAAAATAATTGAAATCATGTTGAGCTAAAAATCAAGATCACTTTGAGCTAAAAAGTAAAAAGGTATGATCCAAAGAGCCACAGATACACACACACACACACACACACACACACACACACACACACACACACACACTTTAAATGCTTTTGAACTACCAATTATAAATTTTCCCACAAACGTTTTTCTATCTTCTCAATAAAATATCACATGGCAAGAGAATATAGTTTGTCAGCCACAGGAGTTTTACCCTCAAGTACAGTTAGTCATTTTCCATTTTAAATTAAGTTCTACTCATTTTGGATCTAAATCTATAGTTGCAGCCTAGCTAATCATTGGCTTTCACTGCCCTATATACAGACAAGAGTTAAAAGTTATAAGGAAAAGCAACAACTATTGTCTTCATTCTATTTGGCTTATAGCCAACAAAATGCTGAGATTTAAGGAGAATACAAACACTCTGGAACTCCCTTCCTGTCAATACACTGGAACAATCATGCCTATATTTTAAAAATGTATTATGTATGAAGCTTTGCTTATGATAAGCAAGCAAATGTTGATCAAGGTATTATACTGGTTTGCACAGCACACAAGCATTTAAAATAACTTAAGATACCCATCTTATTACCTATTAACAGTTTATCCTTTAACATAGATTTACATGGCACACTGACTTTCAATAATTTTTCACAATTGAAGATCTGAAAAAACATTTTAGACCTTGAATATTAATAATAATATAGCTAAAAGATTTAAGTTATAATTTAGACTTCAAAAGTAATACAGCTTCCATACCAAGTTATTTAGCTTCATGCGAAGAAATGTGTTCTCAAAATTCAGTTTCTCTACTTCTTTTTGCAATAGCATCTTTTCAGTTGTAATTCTTCGAGAATTCTCTTTTTCTCTACTAAGAGCCTGAGCTAATGCCCTGTTGTTGTGCTTTAAAGAGATTTTGAAAATAGAAGAATTGTCTGCAAAAAGATACTTAAATGAATTAATATTGAACTGATGATAGTATACCTTAATAAATTTTCATATTCCTTAGTAAAACTATTTTAGACAAAATGCATTTTACTTTACATATTTTAACTGAAGGTTGGAAAAGAAGAGAATAACAATACAGATGTAGTTTTTAAAAAAATATACCCAGAGTTTGGAGATGAAAAAATAAAAGCTAGATAGAAGATAAAGAATAAAAGAGTTGTGAGGAATGCAGAATATGTATAAACAGAGTTAGGAATAAGAGGACCATAGTACAGACACAACATTCTCGATAATTATTAATAGATCATTTACAAAAACTAAATCTTGATACTTATTGCTCTACCTTCCTTCCAACCTTTGACTAGGAAATAGAACGAAGCTGATTCTGTAGTTCTATGTGGAGATGTCCTACAGGAATCAGGGTAGCCAATCTATGAAAATTTTTAACCCAGTTTCTGTGGCTCCAGAATTGAATAAATCAGTTAATGCCCCAAAGTCTACTTTTTGAACTTTGAGTGAAAGTGAGCATACTTATTGTAATGTTAGATCATTTAAACTTTGTGGGACCTTTTACCTCCATCTAAAATATCCTACCTCTTGCTTCTAGGCATCTATTATAATCTAAACTTGATCTCTTCTCTTTAAAAGTACTATATAAATATGACTTAAATCACTCTTGAAATGTTTTTCTTTTGGCAGCAAAGAAATTACATTGTGAATTCCTTGGTAAAGCTCATCTTAAATATAGTGTGTTCCCTTAGTACACTTAAAGCCTAATTATATTTTCATAATTTTGATTTACATGTCACTATATAATAACATATTCCACTGAATGAATATATATGTAAAATAAGATGTTCTTTAAATTTATAGATGTTTTATTTGTGGGGCATTTGTGTTTAGTTTGTAACTGAATCATCAGACTTTCTTTTTATCATAAATTATCATTTTTTATAGATATAACAGATTTATTTTTTTATTATAAATTTTTTTAAATTTCAGAATATTACAAGGGTATAAACACTTTGGTTACCTAAATTGCTTTTGTACCACTTGAGTCAAAGTTACAAGTGTGTCCATCACCCACATAGTGTGTATTGTACCTATTAGGTGTGAATTTACCCATCCCCTCCTCCCACCTCCCAACGGCTGGATTTCTGAATTAGTTTTATAAAATTTAATAATCTTTTTAAGTACCCAAGGAAAATTTGGGAATCTAAAAAACAGGGTCCAAAAAAGTACTTTATCTTTGGCACAGATAGAGTAGTTCAGATAGCCATCCTCAACATAATAAATGGAAATAGACTAGAACCCGTTTAGGATTGCCCAAAAATAAAGGGTCATAGCATTTTCCTGTCGTAGTCCTCAAATTTAGCACATTCCTTCTTAATAGGGTGTGTGCCATGGTCTTGCCAAAGGGAGCAAGCAATAGCCACTGCAGGGGGTGGTCTAAGACACAATGTGGCCCTAGAGACCTGGGTAGGAGCAACATGATGATTTACAGACACTCAGAAGGCTTGGTTATTTCATAAGACACACCCAATGATCCTTCATAGGAGCTATATCAGCAGGAAATATTACTACAAGGATACTTCCCCCACTCCTGCTAAGATGGGTATGAATCATTGAGGTAATTTTCAGAAGTAACAAAAATTTATCTTGGAGAGTTTTCCTACCTCCTTTCTTTGCCCTTTGGTTGCTTTAATTCCAGAATTCATAAAATTCCATTTCCAAAGAGATCAGTGCTCTCATGATGAGCATTAGCTATATAAAATCCCCCTCTACAGTACCCAATTCAGGTCAAACTACCTTGAGGTTACCCATCATCCAGTTGCTATAGCATGCCAGAACAACCTGCTACTCTTTTTAGCTCTTCTCCAGAAAAGTCCACATTGGTTTTGTTTTGTTTTTTTTTTTTTTTTTACACTGTAGGATGTAGCTGTCTTGGCTACCCTAACCTCTCTGCTAAAAATCCAGTTGTCAAAACTTGAGGGTAAATTATCAAAACCACCTACCTAATAGGAGTTGAAGGAGATACAAAGGATCAAAGAGAAAAAAAGTATAAGTTAACAAAACAGTCATTTTAGTAATTTTCTATACTTGATAAAACAAGGTAGTAAATATATCAATTGTCCAGAGAAAAGTAAAAATGTGAATGTACCTTAAAAAAAATCAGTGGCACTTACTTATTATTTTTGTTTTGATTTTTGAAGCAAGAGAAACATTCAACTTAGCAGTCTTTGAAATTCTTTTGTCTTTCACATGTCTCTTAATTCCTGTGGTAAAAAGTGAGCCAGTTTCCATCACTGGGCACTCCATCACTAAAATGTAAGAAAAAAGAAAAAAATCATAGTATTGATTAATAAAAGAAAAAAGGATAACTGATAAATACATTCTAAAAAGTAACAATCATTACTTAACAATATACTTTGTTTTTATTTATTTGATTATTATTATTATTTTTTTTTTTTAGAAATGGGGTCTTGCTGTATCACCCAGGCTGGTCATGAACTCCTACTCTCAAGTGATCCTCCTACTCTCCCACCTCAGCCTTCCAAGTAGCTGGGAATACAGGCATAAGTCATGAATTTTTACATTAAGTATATGTATAACCCTTTGTATAAAATCTGAAAGTATGAATTTCATCAAAAGTAGTTTAAAGTATAATCCAAAAAAGTAAATGACTATTTTTTCACTCATATCTGTATTAATCATCTAGGTGCTAGGTGCTAGGCATAGCACTAGATGACAGGCTATGGTCCCTGCTCTCGTGGCATGCATAGTACAATGTAGGTATAGACACTGTTTTGATACAATGCAATAAGTGTAACCTAGAGAGATATACATAGAGTATAATGGAAGTACAGAAGAGAGTGGCAGGAAATCTTAAACTTATCTATCAGATTTATGGCCTGTTATAAAAACAGGAAGATAAAGGAATCATTACATTATAATATCACAAGAATAATGGCGATAATACACAATGCATAGAAGCGGTTAACTCTGCCTGGGAAGAGGAAAAAAAAAAATCAGAAAAAGTTTCACCAAGAAGGTATAACTGATGTTGAGCCATGTGCTTGGATAAGGCCAACCTCCCAGTCTCCATTCCCTCCCAAGTCTCCTTGCCTCCATCTGCAGAGATCTAGAAAAAAACCCAGCCACCTGCACCTGCCTAACCCCTAATACTCAGCTTCTCCACCACTACCTGCCTTGAGTCCATAGGACTAATCTCACTACGTTCTCCATGTCAGTCACAAAGAGAATCTCCAGACTCGCAAGGTCACCCTCATCTCCCTCACTCTAATCCCCCTGTAGCTATGCACATTCTTCACTTGGTCCTATGGTAGGCTGAAAAATGGCCCCCAAAGATATCAGGTCCCTGTAATTCTAAGCTTTATTTGGAAAAAGGGTCACTGCCAATTTGATTAAGTTGATAATCTTGTAATGGGGAGATTATCTTGGATTATCCAAGTGGGCTGTAAATACCATCACAAGTGCCCTTACAGGAAAGAGCAGAAATTGGATGGATGCAGCCACAGCCAAGGATTGCCTGCAGCTACCAGAAGCTGAAAGAGGCAAGGAATAGATTCTTCCCTAGAGCATCCAGAGAGTGCAGCCTGGCAGCAACTTGATTTCAGCTCATTGATACTGAGTTTAGACTTCTGACCTCCAGAACTATGAGAAAATAAAATCCTGTTGTTTTTATGGTAATTTGTTACAGCAGTCAGAGAAAATGAATATAGTCTCCATCTCACCCTTGTGTAACTGGTGAAGTCTTCGGGAACTCACTCCATCATCAAGGAAACCTCTATAGCTTTAATCTCTCTCTGAAGGCTCCCTTCCTCTTCTTAAACCAGCCTCTCCCCTGAGGACACAGATTTGCCTGCAGTCCTGTCAGGCTGGGGCTGTTTTTTCTCTCATAGCCCTCCCAGAGGTTGCAACAGTTGAGGCTTGCAAAGCATTTGCCACCTCTCCTCCCTAAAAATTCCTAGTCTGAAATATAATGTTATTATCCCTCATTGCTATTGTCAACTACCAACCCCTGGGTCACTCCTCTATTCCTTGATAATTGCACATCCTGTCTCACTGTTATTCTCTCTGAAAACACTGTAGCAAATTGTAGAGAACTTTCTCAAAACTCCCATGACCATCACCTTCTCTCCTGTTGTTATGGATAAAACTGCGTTCCTAGCTAAGGCCAAGTTTGCTTTACTTAGAGATAAAGATTCTGTGTGCTGGATCCCATGTCTTCCTGCCTCCTTACAGACAGACATCACTCCAATGATTCTCTCCTTTATATCATCATTTTTTTCTTCTCCACTGGATCATTCTCATCAACACAGAAACATACCGATATTTTCCTCACCTTGAAGAACCCTCTTTTGTTTCCTTTTCTTTCTTAGGCTACCACTCCAATTCTCTGCAGACATTTACACACAATTCCTTTAAAGAACTGTCCATACTCAAGTTTCCAATCCTCTCATAAATTTACCTTAATCTGGCTTTCATTCCAACTATTCCACCAAAACTGTTTTTGCAAGGTCTCTAAGAACCTCCTCGCTGCTAAATCTAACGGTCAATTCTCAAACCTCTTCTAACTTGATCAGCAGCATTAGATATGGTCCATTTCTCCTTCCTCAAAAATGATCTTTCCTTGGCTTCCAGAACACCATAACCCTGGGTTTTTTCCTACCTAAATGTAAGGATGGCCTTGCTGAAATAACAGTAAAATATCGAATCCCATAATTTTCTAACAACAGCCAAAGATCAATCTTGAGCTCTCCTTACTCTTTGCTGTTGCTGGGACTCTGTTTTCACAAACACCTAAAAAGACACCAGAAAGGAAATGTAAATCTTTTCTTTATGTTCACCAGCTCAGAGCCTTTAGAATTTGTTTCTATATACCTAAAGATGTTCCTGAGAAGCTCCCAGAACAAACAGCAGAGAGGTAAACTCCAGGCCTTCTTTCCTGCCCAAAACCTCAGTGGCAAAAATCACATCCCCTGTGATAGGCCTCACTACATGTCAGAGATAACCAAGTCTCTAGGAACAGAAGAAACAAGAAAGATGGACAATATGGCTGCTGGCATCTCCCATCTTTTTTGGGATGCCAGGCCATCTCACTGCTCTCTTCTGCTCCTCCCTTTTCTTTCTTTTTTCTTTCTTTTCTTTTCTCTCTCTCCTTTCTTCCTCTCTCTCTTTCTTCTTTCTTTCTCTCTCTCTCTTTCTTTCTTTCTGTCCTTCTAAAGGGTAAAATGAACTTTTTACTTTTATATCTTAATTTCTGCATGAGAAATCTTTCTCCACCCACGCCACGATCACCTACTACCCTTTCCACCCTAACACTAACTGCCTGCTCCTCTTCAGTTTCTTTTTAATTTAAAAAAAAATTTTTTTTTTTTGAGACAGAGTCTTGCTTTGGTGCCCAGGCTACAGTGAGTACCGTGGCTTCAGCCTAGCTCATAGCAACCTCAAACTCCTGGGCTCAAGCAATCCTGCTGCCTCAGGCTCCTGAGTAGCTGGGACTACAGGCATGTGCCACCATGCCCGGCTATTTTTTTTTCTATATATATTAGTTGACCAATTTCTTTCTATTTATAGTAGAGACGGGGGTCTCACTCTTGCTCAGGCTGGTTTCGAACTCCTGACCTTGAGTAATCCGCCTGCCTCGGCCTCCCAGAGTGCTAGGATTATAGGCATGAGCCACCCGGCCTGCCTCTCTTCAGTCTCTTTTAAAGGTTCTTCCAACTACAACAGGTTCTCTCCTTAGACCTCCTCTCTTTATCTACACTGCTCCCTTTGGTGATTTCACAGTTTCATGGCTTAAAATACCACTTAGGTGCCAAGATTTATGTCCGCAGTTTGGATCTCTTCCCTGGATCCACATATCTAACTTTCTACTCCACAATTCTACTTGACTAAAATAGAAGCATCAGATTAACCTGCTTCAAACTATAACAGAGGGAATGGCCTGGGGGTGGGGGGGATGGCAAAATTATTCTCTGTCTCTTTAAAACATCCTTCACTCCTTTTTGAGAAAACCTGCATTCCTGCCTCAGGCCAACGGTTGAGAGGGGAGGGTAAGTCTTTTGTTATTTGTGCCACAGGAGATGGGACAGATCAGAATCATCAAATCTAGTTAAACAACAATAGCCAGAAGCTGAATGCCCTCCCTTTAAAAGCTTCCAATTTAAGTTTATTATTAGGATGATGGCATTTCCTTCTCCTTAAACCACCTTTCTTCTGATGTGGCCTCCAAGACAAGTGCCAAGTTGAGTTTTCCCAGTAACAAAGCCTGCTTCACTCAGAGTCTTTCCCACTTCAGTTAATGACAACTCCATCCCTCAGCCAAAAACCTCTCACATCCCAGTTTACCATCACAATATATTTATAATCTGACCATTTCTCAGTATGTCCACTGCTACCAACCTAGTCCAAGGCACTATCATGTCTTACCTGAAATTCTGAAACAGCCTTTGTCTCCTTACTTCCAATGCTAAAGCTCTATGTTGATGTTTCCCACTTCTCTCCAAAGAGCTTACAATGGTCCAGAAGTCTCCACCATCTGCTCTTCTTTCCATTTCTCTAATTTGATCTCCTCTTTCTCTCCCCCTAGCTCATTCCCCTCCCACCACACTGGGCACCAAGATCTGTTCCTGGCATATGCCAGGCATTAATCAGCTTCATGTTGTTCGTATTGGTTATTCTCCATTTAGAATAAACACTTTGGAAACTTCTTCTTCCAGATATACAAATGACTCATTCATTCACTCTCCTTTAAATCTTTGTTCAAATGTTACCTTCTCAGTGAGGTCATTCAAAACTATAGCTCCTTCCCCTAGCAAGTCTGATCACTAGACCTTTTTCTATTTTTTTCTATAGCATTTAGCTCACTAACATACTATAGAATTTACTCATCAGCTATCTTCCTCAACTACAATTTAAATTCCATGAGGTTATGTATTTTTATCTGTTTTATTCACTGATATATATCCCAACTGATAAAACAGTACATGGTGAGGGCTTTGAACTGAGTAAATATTTGTTGAATGAATAAGTCTTAAAATCTAAGAACTTGTCAGGCATCAAAATTAGGAAGGGTATTCCAGGAATAAAGAATAGCGTGTATAAATGCATGAAAATTGAACATTAAGAAAATAGAAATGGTCCCTGATGCTGGAATGCCATTACCCTATTCTTCTGCTTCCCTTTATAGAAAAACTCCTTTAGAGTTGTTTATACTTGCTGTCTCCAAATCATCTCCCAGTCTCTCCTGATCCACTAAAAAGAAATTTTTGCTCTCACCACTACTCTGTGGAAACTGTTCAATAAGGTCACTAAATTACCATTTTGTTAAATCAAGTTCAGTGGTCTAGGCCCAGTTCTACTTTTACTTGATCTGTGAGCAGCATTTAATGTCAGATCATTCCCTCTTTTTGAAACAGTTTCTTCACTTGGCTTCCAAAACAGCACATTCTTCTGGGTTTTCTCCTGTCTCACCGACCACTTCTTCTCAGGCTCTTCTGTTAGTTATTCTTCATCTCTCTAACCTCTTATCTCTGGAGTGCCCCAGATCTCAGCCCTTGGACCTCATCTCTTTTCTCTCTCTTCTCTCCTCTCTCCTCTCTCTCTCTCCACACACACACACACACACACACACACATATAAGATATATATATTCCCTGGGGCTGTCACCCAGTGTCCTGGCTTTTAAATCTAAATGCTAGTGACTCTCAAATGTATATTCTCAATCCAGACATCTCTCTTGAACTCCAGAATTATTCATCCAACTGTGTACTCCTCATCTCCACTTGGATGTCTACTATGCATCTCAAATATAACACGTCCCTCACCCCAAACCTGCTCCACAATGTCCTCCCCATCTCAATTACTGTCACCTCCATCCTTCCAGTTGCTCAGGTCAGAAACTTCTCTTCACAGCCCACATCTACTCTATCATCAGTCATGCTGGTCCAACTTTCACAACATATCCACAAGGGATACCACTATTTCGACTGCTACCACTCTGATCCAAGTTGTCATTCTCCCTCATGTACATTATTGCCATAGCTACCTAAACAGTGTTCTTGCTTCCATTTTCTAGCCCTGGCCCCCATCTATTCTCAACCTAGCAACCAAATAACTAACTTATCAATGTCTAACATAAAATCAAATTATTTTCTTATTTATTTATTGTCTGTTTTGTCCTACCAGTAATAAAATGTAAGTTCAACAGGGGCATGGATTTTTGTCAAGTTTGCTTCTGTATCTTAGTGCCTATAAGAGTGCCTATTGCATAGCAGCTGCTGCATAAACTTTTGTTGAAGAAGTGACTATGGATGAATAGAAGAACTTCCCAAGAGTGGAATTACCCAGTCTTGGAATCGGTCTCCTTTGAAAGTGTTGATGAGCCTTTTAAAACTTAAGTAAATTCATGTCACTCCTGTGTGAAAAAATCCTCCAGTGGCTTTCCACCTCACTCGGTCTTTATAATGGCCTACAAAGTACTACACAATTTGACACTTCTTCCTTTCCCAATTACCTATCAGTGCACCTTTCTGACCGTTTCACTACTTTTCCTCTTGATTGCTAGGCTCCAGCCACATTAGCTACCTTGAGGTGTTCACAATACAGAACCTTTGTATCCCCTTTTTCGTTTGTTTCCATTCTTCCTTCAAATGACCACAGGGCCTGCTCATTTTCTTCAAGTCTTTGCTCAAATGTCTCTTTCTTAGTGAGCCTTCACAGTCCAAACTACTTAAAATTGCACACCTGCCCCCAATTCCCCTTCCTGTTTTATTTTTCTCCATTAACTTATCAATGTCTAACATAAAATCAAATTATTTCTTACTTATTTATTGTCTGTTTTCTCCTACCAGTAATAAATATAAGTTCAACAGGGCATGGATTTTGTCAAGTTTGCTTCTGTGACTTAGAGCCTGTAAGAGTGCCTATTGCATAGCAGCTGCTGCATAAACTTTTGTTGAAGAAGTGACTATGGATGAATAGAAGA